CTTGCAATGTGTGACAAAGTTGCTTTGGAGTATTTTAGGCCTGATTTTCTGTATAAGTTTGAAATCATCATCCAAGTCCTGCTCTTCTGAATCACTTTCACAATTTGAAAACTTGATTTTAGTAGTTTTTTTGTCCAGAAGGATAAGATTCAGGGGCTTTAGTCAAGCTACTTAGATTCTTAAGAGACTGCCTGATAAAGTACAAATGCATAAAAATTTCAGGGAGCAATTATAGCACATATTGATAGTTGTTTCCCAAATCCTTTTTATGTCTTGTTTCACTCTCATTGCCTATGTGGCTAAGAGACTAGGGGAGTTGAACTATTTCTTTGCCAGGATTTGGGTTCTTTTCCTTATTTTTAAGTCAAATATGCCTAAAAATCCTTGAAACCATATCAAAGAGCCTTGGTTTACAAATCAAAAGTACAGAGGCAAATGATAGAAAGAGATAAGTCCTTGAAAATTTCATAAGACTGATTTTACTAACCCATGTTGTTCGTAAGATAAATCCCTGAATTATTTGAGCCATTTTTATTTGCATTTTTTGTCTTTTTCAAATAAAAAATAACAATCATTATGAAACATACATCTAATATAGAAAATTTTATAATCTTGTCACAGTGATAAAAATAAAGCAAGATTTTTTAAATTTTTTTATTACCTTTTAAATATTTCAGAGAGAGGAAAAGAAATGTACGAATGGGGCTTCTGTCAAAGTGTGGTACCTCGAAGAATTGTGCTTTTGCATTCTAGAGATACTGAGGAACTGGGAGAAGTAATCAAGGATCTAAACATCCGGCTAAGTAGGCAGTCCAAGAGACGTGCTGCTAAATTTTCCATCAGATTCTTTTACAGTTTTAAACTTCCATGCTGTTCACCCTTCTCTTTGTATTTGTCACTGCAGAATCTGTGCCCTCATTTTCAAAACACCCTTAGGACATGTTATAATTTCTATGATTTCACATCACCTTGCATTAGTTATACTTTAGCCCGGTAACACCCGCGCAGGGGGCTCATTAATTAGCCTGGAGAAGCTGAGCACTGGGGAGAGGGAGCAGGAGTCAACTAAAGTAACTGCCTGCAGGGGCTTCCCAGGAGAGCAAGTGTCAAAGGGCAAGTGTGGAAATGGTTATTCATCCTAAGAAGCCACGGGGGAAGACATTTGGTCAGGGGATTATTTTTGTAGCCTCCTACTGGGATCTCCACAACCAACTTTGCCCTCCTGTCTCTAGTTCACCCAGCAGAGAGATCTTGTTAAATCACAGTCAGCTTTTGTCACTGTTTAATGTTATCCCAGGTCACGTAGGGGGAAATGGAACTTCTCACAGTGGATGCAGGTTGAACAGGACCTGACTCCTCTCCTCCTTGACACCTACCACTAAGCCCCCACCATGGTGACCTTCTAAAGTCAGACCCCAGAGCCTTCCAATTTACCGATCCCTTGGCCTGAAGTCTCTCAAAAATAATACATTTTACTTAAATTTTTCCCCCAGGGGAATTTTCCTAACCCCAAATCTCCATTATTACCTTCTTCTACTGTCTATCTTTTATGTGACATTTATCGCAATTTTTTCCCTAAATTTAATTAATCAATTAAAAAAACATGAAAGCTGAGTCAGGATCTTTTTTTTTTTTTTCTGTGTGCTTCTACTTACTCAAAAATGTACCTATTCATTCAAAGAATGTTGACTAAATGAGTGAAATGACATGAAATATTGTTATACCCTAGGTTAAAGTTCGGATGCGATGCTGACCATTTCAGGATATATTAAAAGTTACAAGGCAGTGATGGTGAACACTTTGAGACTAAGGCTTTCATTGAAAACAAATAGCTGGCTGTGGCATGTGTGCCATGGGTTTACCGTAAGATAAGACGAAAAAGTTACTGTGAATGTTTGAATTAAAAAAAAAAATCTTTACTACACTAAAAGACACACTACCATTAATCTCCCTCAAAATAGTCCCCCTCAATTCAAACCAGTCAGCTCATGATTCTTTCCACTTTCTTAGGCAGTCGGAGTCCTGTTTTGTTGACCTGGGTAGTACTGCTATCCAGGCTCCTACCTGGAGGTGCCAAGTCCATTCAAAACATTGACTTTTCATGGTCATTTTGATTTTAGGGAAGACCAAAAAGTTGCATGGTGAGGACACACTGTAGTATTTTTTTATTTGACAAAAACTGCCATAAAAATTTAAAGTGATTCAGCCTTTGGAAAAACACTCATGAAAGAAGACTTCCATGACTGCTTCAAAAAGTGGCAAGAGCTACGGGATAAGTGTGTTCCAAGACGAGGGCCAGTTGTTGTGAGGGAAATTAATGGCGATGTGTCTTTTACTGTAATTATTTAAACATTCACTGTATACTTTGATTATATCTCTTATGCTCTATTGAAGCTTTGGTAAAAATACTGGTTAAATTATATTTATGACTAATGTCATTGTCATGCATTTCTGTTTGTTGATATCACACTGGTTTATCTTCTTTTGTATTTCTGAAATAGAGTAGTGAGTAGAGATAGGGTTGTTAGTTTTGACCCTAACAATGTTTGTGGGATGTTTAGCAGAATCGTTGGCCTCTATCCCCCAGATATGCTAGATGCCAGGGCACTTGTTTTCCCCAAGTTGTGGCAACCAAAACTGTCTCCAGACAGCACCATGATTCTCCTGGAGGGGAAACTGCTCCTACTTGAGGTCCATTGATGTAAGTAAATTTCAGATATGTCTATTTGGGTCAAATAAAAAGTTGTGTTTTTGATACAACATAGGAAATTGAAAGGAAATCAAGAAAATTTGATTTTTTATGAACCCAAGCACCACAATCAAGTCAGCATTGTTCACCTAACTGGTAGTAACATGAGATGGTAGAAGATACAAAACTTAGGCAAAGAAAATATAGATAAACCTTTATTTATGGGCCTTGAAGTTGCACTCTTATGAAATGATGGAAAATGCTGAGATATCCCTTTTGGCAAAAGGCCTGGGAAAATAATAATAAAAATGATAGCATGTAATGCTCCATAATTTATAAAGGTGATATTAGGTTAAAACAGATTATTTACTTCACAGGGACATGGAATCACAAAAGGAGTATCCTGATGTTGGAGATTAGAAGGAAGACAGTGCCTCATTTAATTGTCTTATTTGAGGGTGATTTGTGTAAGGGCAGTTAGGTTAGGGAACTGGATTGGAGCTATGTAAGTGAATTTCTAGTGCTCTTCCTTCTGAAAATTGATCGACTGGTTGGTTGATTTGAAGTTGTATTTGCAGAGCCTCCTCTTTGTACCCTGGTTGACTGTTCCATGTGACACTTGTCAATGTAGGAGTCAATGTAAGAGCAAGGAGTCCCTGAAAAATACTTGCCACAAAATAATATTTTTAATTTGGGAACTTAGGACTGGTCACGAGGAATGTAAGTTTTTGGTAATGGGGATTGAACTCGGGTCCTTGTGCTTGCAAGGCAGGCCACAGAACCGCTGAGCTTAATCCCCAGCCCAAGAAATGTAAGTTTTAAGAGTGATATTAAGTGCTTAAAAAATACTTGTAAAGCTGAATCAAAGAGATGTTCTTATCCTGTCCTAATCTTGTATTACCTGTTAGACCAAGCTGAATGCCACTGCCAGCCAACCTTGTTTATCTGTATGGACAAGAATCCTGTAAACCTGAAGCCTATAAACCAAACATGGTTGAATCTAAGATGGCTGCTGGAGGGACCACTGGAGATCCTGTGCTTCATTATAACCTTGTCTATACTCAATCCCCCTAAACTATGGCAGTTGACAGCTGGCATGACAAGGACTCCAAAGAATCATTTTTATGGAGAAGAAAGAGGTGGCCCCCAAAATCCCAGAAAAGACATGACTATCTCTCCACTTTATTAGGCGATCACTCCCTCTCATTCATTTCTTTTATCCTCTATCTATAAACCCTGAACTCAATGGGTTAAGAAAGTGATGTGTGAGTTTTATTTCCCAGTTCTTTTCTGGGTAAAAGCTAAAAGCCTCCTTTGCTGTTATTCAGTGTTCGGTTATTTCCTGGTCCCACAAATTTGAGAAGGAAAATTGGATCAGAAATTGGTAACAATGTAACCTGAGAACTATGGGAAATGGAAATATATTTTACAAATTTGAAATAGGTACCATCGACTTTTAAGCTGAAAGGAAGTTCAAGGATAGAGAATCAAAGGGAAGTTGTGAAGCAGGAAAGAACTGGTGGATGGGAGAAAATACAAAATTTCTATTTCAAAAGTAAGCAAATTCGTTTTATAGTTCATCACTTCACATAATATCGACGTAATCTATACCATAAATGTCCATCCGTGAGACTCAACCCTCTATCTATTATGTTAGCATCTTTCCTCAGTTGAACCAGATGCACACTGCAGAAAGCTGAATCAAAGAGATATTCTTTGATAGTCCAGCCTCCTAGTTTTACAAACCTGGGGTTAAACCACATGGATTAATCCCCTAAATTCGTGGGTCTCAAAAGCATCTTGCTAAATAGGTCAGTAAAGGCACCATGGAAGCCCCCCCCAAAAAAAAGAAAAAAAAGAAAAAAGCCCCCTAAAGGAAAGTAGCACTTAATTGGGAACTTTGAGGCATCTGTCACTTTCCCTGACAATCCAGAAAAAGCACTTAGCAGGTTTTGTGACTGCAGGTGGGCTGGGACTGACAGCTGAAGTTAGCAAACTGGGGCTTGGCACCGCGACGGTATGGGGGGTGGGGAAGCGAGGGGGGTGAGGAAAAGGGAACAGTTGGTTTGCAGACTTTTTTTTCATTCAGAATATCATTTTAAAAATTGTATGAGGTCTACACTGTCGCTATCAATTGTCCATTTAAGATATGTTACTTGGTAAATCGAGGCACGTTCCCAAAATCATGCGTGAAGTTTGGAAAAGAAATGGCATGTTGGGTCTCTGCTAAAAACAAAGCGATCTTCCATCTCCTGCCTCCTGGTTCAAGCTCGTCTTCTAGCTCTGCGGAGAGAGGCTGCCCCTGGAGTATTCTTTTTTTCGTGAGCTTCCCAGTCGCTCAGGGGCAGCGCGCTCTCCTCCCTCTCCTAGCCCAGCCCAGCCCGCGTCCTCCCTGCCCTCGCTCCTCTCCTCCCTCCCACTTTCCATTTCCCTCCGTTCCCTCCCTGGCAGGGCGTAATTGAGTCCGAGGCAGGATCAGGTTCCCCGCCTTCCAGTCCAAAGATCCCGCCGAGGAAACCCCAGAGCACAGGAAAAGCCAACGTGGAGAGAGGGGAAGAAAGAAACCAGGGAGTCATCGTTGCCGAGGCGGGAGAGCAGCCGCCGCCCAGGCAGGAGCAGCCCGGAGCCGCACCTGGACCGGCAGCCGCGGATCTAACCCAACCTCCCCCGCGACAAAGGCAGCCGAGCACAGCGGGCGCGGACACCTGCGACTCAAGTAAGTGGCAGCGGCGCGGTGTCCCCACGCCCTCCGAGGGGTCCCGCACCCGGTCTGCGGCCACCCTGGCCCCGTTAGTGCCTGGCGGAGGCTGAGGGTGGTAGAAGTGGGAGAGAACCTGCCTGGCCTCTGCCGATAGGCCGGAATGTTCAAAATCGACCTGATTCAGAGGCAAAACAGGCGCATTGTGAGGGAGTCAGGTCGGACTGGTCAGGGTGCACGGAGATGCGTGGAAAGAAAAAAGCTTCGGTAAGGTTGAGCAGCATGTGTGTGCTTGGTGTGGTGTGTGCCAGGTACCTACTGGAGAGTGCGGGTTTGCTCTTTGCAAAATCCGAAGCTTTGCTAGGTAGGTGTGTCTGTGGCTGGGGGGAGAAGAGAGACGGAGGAAAGGGAGAGGGTCAGAGGCCCATTCTCCAGCTCTGGTTGCCCCAGGGCTCACCAAGGAGGCGATGCCTTAGCTGGCATTGCTTTAAGAGGGATCCGTCAGGGGCCCCTTCCTCCATCCCTCCGCTCCAGCATTTCTCTGGGCAGCTGGCGCTCCTTGTCTTGTGTGGCAGTCCAGGAAAGCTTCTGGACACTCTTCGGTTCAAACTTTCATAGGCGCACTTCGGATGCCATCTCTCACCGGAATGCTGATTTTAGTAACTGTTCTTGTCACGAGCGCTTGAACTTTTAATTTCACTCCCATGAATCTGGGGTCTGTTTGTTAATAATTTACCAGATACTTAGATTTCTGAGTTGATGTTTCTAATAAACCAACAAAATATTGTCCAGAGAAATGACGTTGATTCTTTCCTCCATGTACTAAAAGAAAACGCCCTCTCTCTTTCACACATACACACACACACACACACACACACACACACACACACACACACTGTGACATGACAACACACACAAACACGAGAACACACGTGGAGTTTATCTACCCTCCACTGTGAACCCATCCTTGTCTCTGCTAACTGTGGCTTCCTAGATCTAGGAATAGAGCAATAAAAGAGGACAGAGTGAGTGGACCATGAGGAGGGAACAAACAACTTGATGGAATAGCAAAGTGCTTGTCTCTCAGCTTTTTTGGTTTTAAGGGTTTCAAGGCATTTTGCTTCAGCAACTTGAGAAGAGGTGAGGGGTGTGTGTGTGTGTGTGTGTGTGTGTGTGTGTGTGTGTGTGTGT